CCAATCTTCTAGTAACAGTAAAACAAAAACAAATGGAATAAATAGGTAGCAGGTCCCTACCTCTCTGAGAATTTTGGGCTTTTATCACAAATAGTGACAAGGATGCTTACAACTAAAGATGCTGAAAAAATGTTCATTTCTCTGTACCACTTCAGAAAGTATCTAACTCCTTCTGCCATGCTCTATATTTACAAGAGTCAGATCCAACCAAAAATGGAGTATTTCTGCCATATTTAGGCTAGTACTCCTCACTGTTCAATCTTGAAATGGAGTATTTCCGCCATATTTAGGCTAGTACTCCTCACTGTTCAATCTTGATAGAGTTCAAAAGCAATTACACAGCTTTATGTGTGATACATTATCTTCCACTCTGCAACCACTTTCCCCATAAACAAAATGTTTCTAGGATGCCATAACGTACATACAGCATCAAATCATCTTTATTCCCTATGTATTCCTTTGGTAAAAAGGAAGGTTCAATCAGCCAGCTTCTTACCCAGAATGGTCACTTTGTGGAATGAACTCCCAAAAAATCCTAACCTTTTCAAATTTAGGGTCAACCAATAACTATCCTATATGTCCTCATAATATGCATCTCTTACCACCTCCTTCTTCCTTCCTTACAACAATCTCACTCTGGTAATCCTCTACCTTGAGTGATCCCTTAGTGCCACCTGAGACTTTCATAGCTAGGACCCACTAGCCATGTTCACAAGGGCATAGCATCTTTATTCCCTTTTGCATTCATTTAGTAAAGAGGAAATTTCACTCAGGTAGCTTACTCCCCAGAACTGTTACTTTGTGGAACACACTCCCATGAGGATGTTCTCCTGACCACTACAATCTTAACCTCTTCAAGTCTAGGGTCAACTGATATTTATTCCACAGATCATATGAACCTCTTCCTCCTTAACAACAATCTCATTCTATTCAGTAACCCTCTACCTTGAGTGGCTCTTTGGTCTTTTATTGGGGGAATTATCGTGCAAAAAAAAAAAACCCACACACAATGGTAAGTTTAAGAAAGGAATGAAAATTGGCACAGAAATTATTTTTAGCTGGAATTTATAAAAATAAATTGATCATTTTTCAACATCATTGCCATTGATTATAAGGATATAGTTAGAAATCACTCAATGTCCTATTGCCAGCAAGCTAACAGTGTGTCCATATCTGATATGACAACCACTTTACCAAGATGATACTGACAGTTTAGATTTTGTTTTTGAAATTCATTAATTTTCTTAGGGGTCGTAGGGGGGGGGAGAGAGAGAGAGTTATTAAGTTCTTCTTCATAAAGAGACAAATAGAGTGACAGACAGACAGACAGACACTTGCCGACGTGAACACAGACAGTTTTCTCTCTACCAAATTTCCACTTTCTGCTCCACTCTCTACCACATACTGCCATTTTGATCACGACTGCTTCTACCGTCAACATTCCTGTCTCCACCTCCACACCAAACACCTCTTACCATTGATGAATAATCAATTTTTATTGGTTTGAACTCGTTGTCTAATCTTTTTGAAAACTTCTTGAGAAATTTTTTTTCTCCTTCACCATCTTTAGACGACCATAATTAGTTTGCTGCCTTTTTGTGCATTTTTTTAATTTAAGAAAAAAAAAAAATTTTATTTTTTTATTTTTACTTCTTATTGCCAGCTCTTTCCCTGCAGTTTAAAATATTGTGTTTATTTTTAAATCTTCCTCGAGTCTCCCTTCTCCTCACTTTCCCTCCTCAGGCATTCTGACTGAAAGTTTTTTTCCACCACCAAACTAACATTTTGTCATTGGATTCTTTGGCTCATAAGACACCATTTCCTCCATTCCACAAATGCTGCAAAATTGTATGTCACATAATAACATGTCAACCACCTTTCTTTTTTTTAAAATAGTATGTCTAATATATTCAACAGGGTGGCTTGACCTCATAAAACATGTATACATTAATATTAAGTGTAGTTCAATGAAAGCAATGCACATAATCAGGTCACATGAATTTGTATTTTTTTTTTTTTAATAATGTTCACCTCATACAAGGCCCAAGAGCCACTTAAGGTAGAGGGTTAGTGAAAGCAGTTGTTGTGTGAGTGATAAAAGTGAGGGACACAATTTATGTAGATATGTGGGAAGGATAATGGTTAACCCTAGACTTGAAAAGGTTAAGGTCGTAGGGAATAGAAAAGCTTCCTCCTGGTATTCTTTTCCACAAAGCAACAGTTCTTGGGAAGAAACTATCTGAGTGGAACTTACTTTTAACTAAAGGAATATGAATGGGAGTTGTTTGCAACAATGTACACAGTGTAGTGGGTTTTAGCTGGAGGGGTTAGAGTTGACGGAACTAACGAATGTAGATCCTTTGAACATTTTCCATGGAAATAGTGGTATGGTATCGAGAGGCTTGCAACATTTCATCTGTGGAAAAGGAGTGGTAAAGTGGAAAACAGTTCATCATCCACAAGGATGTGGAGATGCTTTGGGGGGCTCTATCAAGACTGGAAAGTGAAGAATGTACAGCTCCAACCTAGATCTCTTGTAAAGGTAGTGCATATCAGGAGGAGTCAGTGAACCTAACTTTCCAGCATCTTTAGCAATGGATTGTATATATGAGTCTTTTATAGGGTTTTCATGCAGATATGCTCAAACTTTGAGCTTTATATATTACTAGCTTAAAAGGGAACCTATTGGATAGCATTTAAGGGCTCTTAGTTGGGCCTTGGTCACAATAGGTAGGAAAAGTAGATGCGATAGGCAAAAATAAACTACAGAACTCAAAATTGATTGCTACATTTAAGTATTGCATAAATATTTAAGTCTACCTTTTAAAAGTTCAATGATAATTCTTCTGTTGCCACTTAATTTAAAAACAATTTGATGTACGTAGGTCCTTACTTTCGGTACAAACAATTATTTTTATTTTGTAGGTGTCTTTTGTTTGATTTCACAATTAATTTTGATCATTCTATTCAATACCAATTATGAAAATATTGAGTCATTTAAATAAGGTTAACAACAAATCCGGTTTTAAATAGAAGGCATATCAATTAGATTCTGTAATTTCTGCTTTTTACAGAAAAAGCTAGTATAAATGGCCCTGGTTCAGTTCTTATTAGTTTTTCTGCTACCTTGGCCTTGTGGCAAACTAGGTTGAGCTTAAGATGAGCCTCAAAGTTGTGAACCCTTTACTATTTTTCAACCCTCGGGCATAGCCAAATAATTTGTAGTTAGCATTTACTGCTGATGCCAGGACCCCAATCCACATGACCTGACTGTTCACTCTTCTTACTGTACAATTCATGATACAGCCTTCCTGACAGTTGCTTGTATCTTTGCCAGGCAAGGCAACACTAAATAACTGGCCATCCAAATTCAAAAGATTGGCACTTCACTTTTAAGCCAGCATCAATGGCCTATAAAATGTTTAAAAAATAAAAATGAAAGAAAGAGTGCAGAAAGGACGAAGAGTGAGAAGAAAAAAGAAACAAAAGAAAGAAGTCCATAAAGTAACTTTAGGATTTACCTTCTTTTAGCTGAAGACTTCAGTTGACAACAATTGGCTGATTATTTTCAGATAATCTATTCTTAGAAAATATGTCAGACATGGTACAATATTACAGGCTGAATTAAAAGCTGCAGAATTTAAGGTTTGTTCCCCATGCAATCATTTTTATGGTAAAATTAATCTTAAGGGCAACATGGTTCAATTCCAATACAATTCTTTTTATGGCATCCTGATATGAATTCTTTCAGGTATTTTGCAGAGATCAAAGAACCACAGAACAGGTTCATATGATGACTTGATATCCCAGTTCAAAGAAACTTTTTATTCATGTTACTGTAGCTTAATCTTACATAAGATCAGAGGAATTTTGGGTATCTGAGGGGATCATCCTAGAAATTATGTCACAGGCTAACCGTGTAAGCCATTGTTTGTGAGTTCAATTCTTTTAGCCAAAAAAAATCCAAGAACATGATTCTCTGAGAGTTTATCTATTCATGTGCAGGCTAGTGGGATGCTTGGAGGTTCTTTGTGAGAATCATGTTAAGGAGCAAATTGATAAACAAATTGGGTATTCTGTAATCAAGGCTTTGTTTTCCAATCTTATTTTAGTTTGAAATATTATTCTTGCAAGGGAGTTCAATTAATATTTGGTATTCATTTACCAAACAATCAGTGCTACCAGCAGTTGAAAATAGGTTTCTCAAGTCCTCTGTTATCATTCTTTCCAGTGAATGGTGAGAGTATCCTTTTTAACCTTTTGCTCAACTTCGAATTACATGTGTGATAATATTAAGGAGGCGCTGGTAAATTGGGAAAAAAAGGCTTTCAAAATGAACTGGAAAACAAGAATGAAAAAAAAAAAACAATGTTTTTTGATATACTAAAAATATACTGATAACAAGAAAAACTAGAGAAATACTGTTTTCAATAAACGGAAAGTATACTGATAAGAAAGACAAGGAAAATGGAGGGAGAAGATGTTTATTTTCTTTTGTCTCCCTACCTCGGTGTTTCGACGACAACTAGCATAGAAGCCATCTATTCATGGTCAACTTAATCTTAAGTGATAGTGTCCACTCAACCTGCATGCTAGAATAGATTATATTTTAATGTCTTCATGTACCAACAATGGCTAAGAACAAATCTCTAGCCAAAATTCAGTCAATTGATAGGACTTGGAAAACAGGAATGGCATTGTAATTATATTTTTCCTTCATCTGCCTAAGACATGATAAAATTTATTATGAGGAATTGTCTCTTTTTGTCACTTGTTGACCAAAAAGCTGGCATGGAGAAGTGACAGGTAACAAAACCCAAATGCAGCTGACCACACAAGGATGCGATAAGAATTCTCTGCCAATGGAAATTTTGGATGATGACAAAGGAATTGCCTGCACCCTTTGGGTGGTGAGAGGCACCTATGTGAGATGGAAGGAGTTGGACAGATTGATATTCTGCCACCACTACTCTTTGGAGGAGGGATCTCTCCAAATTTGGTCAGGCAATCAATTTCCCAACCACCGGTTTGTGCAAGGGTTCATAAAAATGGATGAGCGAAATGAGAGAGAGTACGGGGGTATTAAAAGAAGAAGAAGGAACCAGCCTGCTCGAATTGCAGTTTGTGAGAGGGACATATGCCAGTTTGTTCAAGATCTGCTTTGCCAAACCCCACACAGCTTCTCTGGCCTTGTTCCAGACTACCAAATACACCTGAATGGCCGGACAGAAGAAATCACAGAGTAGAAGAAATCAGCCTTGTGCCAGTTTACCGAGCGTAGATAGACATAGTATTAAGGGGGAAGTTGCTGAAAATCTGCATGCTGCTCATCTAGCAAGTAGAATGTTCATTGTAAGAACTTTTGATATAAAATTGTTGTGCTACACAGATGTCTCTTACTTTGTTCCTTGTGACGACATCTTGCCAAAACTACCGGGTCGGTGATGTTGAGTATACAACCTTCTCTGTGATCTAAAACAAACACAATGTGGGCAGGGTGGGAATTGAAGATCAAACAACCAACTCTAAGGCTGGCCGTAAGGATCGACCACAGACTCGCTTGGTGACTAAGAACAGGATTGTGGCAACATTCATGTGCTATCTCTTTTAATTGCTGTTGAAAGTACTCAAGCAATGTGGTTTCTGCTATTTTGTCTTGTGATTCATTAATAACTATTGATCTGAGAAAGCAATTGTATAAAGTTGTCAGTTAAGATATTTCTGAACAAGTTTTGTGCCATGCAGGACATTCATATGATAGCCTCAATCTGATGAGGCTATTTATGAACATAACTAGATTTTTTAAGTGTCACGAGTATAGAGTTGAAGTAGACATTAGAAGGAACTGGAAATCCAAGCACCATTGTATATGAAGTCTTTAGTATTTACTAATTTCACCAATTTCTTCACCATCAGCATGTTGATCTTGGACCATTTACAATTAAACAAAACAGTGAAAATTACCAAAACTTTATTCTAAATATCAATGAACAAAACAGTGAAAATTACCAAAACTTTATTCTAAATATCAAAGAAACATACATTTAAAGAAGGTAAGCTTAAGATGACTTTGATTGTTCTGTGTCTTGAGCAGGATCAACTGAAGAACCCTCATCTTCTTTGGCTGCTGCAGCTGCCTTTTTTGAATTACGCTCGGCATTAATGATACTCATAGGGTGCAAAGGAAGAAAACCGCTCAAACCTAGAAAGAAAGAAAAATTCATTCATTTGATATTATGTACTCCACTCCACCACCATGTTATTTTTATTTCGGGGGGGGGGGGGATATATGTAAAGACAAGGTTTCCAAACAACTACTGGGTCTAACTTCATGACACAGTAATATTAAAATATACAAAAACAGCATATTTAAAGAAATAACTTAAGGCATGAAACTGTCAGTCACCAGAGTTTATATCTACATACTTGAGAATTCTTCATCTGTAAATTTTAAACAATCAAAGAGATGGAAACTCTGAAAAAACCTGCACCTGAAAAGATCACTAGTATTCGGGTAGTTAATGTTGTACAAAAGTTTACAGGTACTTAATTACATATGAGAAAGTGGCCAAGCCTGAAATCAAGTAGAAATGTTAATCTGGGCCAAAATTTCAAATACAAATTAAACTACAATAATAAACCACCCCAACAATAAAAATTGAAAATTATGTCAGCAGGAAACTCAAGAGTTGTGCAATCAACGTAAGGTATTATGTATATTTTTAACATATATAAAGCAATGTTATATAATGAAATGGACAAAGTTTGACAATTATTTTAAGACATTTTTATTTTTATACATCCTTTTTTTTAAAAATGTCTTAAAATAATTGTCAGACTTTGTTCATTTCATAATGTGTGATGTCATTTGTTTACATTTGGATGCGCTTTGAGCAGATATGAATGTACGTGAGAGATTCATGAAAGATTGTAGTTTAAAGACAGTAAAATCAACCTTGCTAACCGAACGCTCCTCTGTAGCCAAATCGTTTAAGGCACATCAAGCTAAATGACAGTTCTGTAGAGGATACAGGTTCGAATCCTGTTGGAGGACGAATATTTTCTGTGAAAATTTCTCCAACATTCAGGCCGGTAAATGTTGTTTAATACTGTTTACTTAAATATTTGTATCTATTAAAAATAAATGTATAAACATAAAAATGTCTTAAAAATATATATATATATATATATATATATATATATATATATATATATTCTCGTTGGTTGAAACAGATCTATACTCACCCCATATGAGGTAATTTTGCATTTTGTTGTGTAATTTATATGTTCTGTTATAATAAATGCATTGAGCTCTTTTTTGGGATCAGTTTTAATATTACTAGTATCCACTTGGATTATATAACAATAGATTTATTACCTGTATTATACATAGATTTCTCTCTCTCTAATTAGTAGAGTAAAAATATCTACTAATTGGATTATACTAAGTCCTTTCACTTTAACAGATAAATACATATAAATCCTCAAAATTTTCTTGTTATATCTTTTCAAAATTCAAACTTGATTGATTTGAACAAGAACTCTAGCGTTGCATACACCAAAACATATTTAACTCTCAATATAGCATAATCTAAAAAAAACATCTTTTGGTCTATACATGTTTCATCTTAGTTTTTGCCTATGGATGGGAAAATTGCACCCTATGACAATTTAAAATTGTCAAAAGTACTTGACATGTGTCTTCCATCTGACAACACCTTGAATATAAGGATCTTAACAAAACATCCTTAAGTTCTGTTAGAGAAGTGATTTCGCCCTTAATCACATTAACATTGCTATTTAATTCTTTTATAAATTGCTTCTTTATGATATAAAATATAAGCTGCACACACTTATTTATATATATAATGACAACTATTTCATAAGGTAAAAGAAGTGGGTATTCTATAGGAGGAGATAATTTTATTTGAATAAATTAATTAATCCAATGCCAAAAGTGCATTTTAAGAGATATTCAGCATTTTGTTAATTGGTATGCTATTTCTGTGTTACTTATTAAATCAGTAGACTTTCTTATGTGTTAGTTACACTGCAGGCCTTGTGTCCCAAACATGAATGAATCCCATACAGCCAGCTCAAGGTCAATATGAATATACTATTAATATTTACCTTCCACTTCTAAGCTAAGAACATTGTCAAGATTGATGATTTTATTGTTTATTTCTGATGCATGGCTAAAGCAGAAGACAGAGTAAATTACAAAACACTTATGTTTTCTTTCAAACTGTTATTCTCATCTAAAATAATCAAGGCAAATGTGGGACTTATTTTGTTGCATTTATTTACATGCAAAAGCAACTGTGTCATTTGTTTATCAAGGCTTTTAAATTTTGCATATAAGCATATTATGTAGCAAAAAAAAAATTCTATATTTGTCTTGATGAAACAACAGCTAAGAATAGTTTTTCTTTTCTGCTTGTCTTTTCAGTCATTTTCCTTTGCAAGTACACTATCTGAAAATTATATATATATATATGTGTGTGTGTGTGTGTGTGTTTTAATCATTTCCCCCCAAGCAAGATGCTAAGGATTACTTAGAGTGAAAGAATAAGAAGAATGTCACATTAAGAGTAATAAAGAAGAAAAGTGGATTGACTGATAAGAAAATATTTAAAGAAATTGGTGTTGCAAATGCAAACAGAAGGAAACACTGTTTGAATATTAATAATATTAGTTGATTTCACATCTTTCATCAAACTATATATATATAAAAAAAGTGAACATAGAAGTCAACACTTAGAGGCGACAGTCTGTTTCATGCAAGATGCAATCATCAGGCCTGACGATTGTGTCTAGCATGAAACAGACTGTCACCTCTAAGTGTTGACTTCTATGTTCACTTTTATATTTACACTCGCTTTATCTCTGATATTGAGCACTTTATCCTATAAATATAGCACATCTTAAGACTATATATATATATAGTGGTAATAAGATAATAAATTTATAATTTGTTCCTCACTGTTTGGTATAATTCTTAGTTTCATGCATGTGGCAATCATCAGGCACAGATTATTTTACATTGAGCACTGTTTTACTGCCATCAACACTTATTGTTTGCTAATTAATTTATATACATATAAAATTAATTGCTGATACCCATTGAAGAGTGGATGGATTGACCTGCCTAGAAAATTCTGGAGTCGGGATACTAAAGGTAACATCAATCGACTAAGTGATAAACTTTTACTCACTATATATATATATATATATGTTTGTGTTTAATCATTTCACACCAAGCAAGATGCTATGAAGATGCCAAGGATTGCTTAGAGTGAAAGAATAAGAAGAATGTGGCATTAAGAGATCCGAGAAGAATTAAGAGTAATAAAGAAGAAAAGTGGATTGACTGATAAGAAAATATTTAAAGAAATTGGTGTTGCAAACAGAAAGAAACACTGTTTGAATATTAATAATATTGGTTGATTTCACATCTTTCATCAAACTACCGCCTTCAAGGAAATAGCATAAAGAAAAATGTCTTAGTTGATTGAAGAATTTTTCTTTTCCAACAAGATGTTAATGTCACTAAGACACAAGGGTTACTGGGAGTTAAAGAGAAAGAATAGGATTCAGGAAGACAGATGATAGCAATTGACAATGCATTTAAATTTTTGTATAGTGTAGGTTGCAAGGAAGCATGAAACTGAAAGAGAATTCCACAGGTGAGAAATACCTGTATTAAAATAGAACATGTAACTATATCAAGTATAAAATAATGAAACACAGTTGCCAATCTAGTAGTGCCTAAATTCATATAGTTGAGATTCCAAAGAGGAGAGCTCAGTATAAAAATTGCCATGAAAATATGTACAGAAAAATATTCAATGCACAAAGGAATGGTAGATTTATAAATGTGCAAAATAGAAAAAGTAATTTTTCTTGCCATAATCTAATATATACATATGAAATGGACAAAGTCCGACAATTATTTAAAGACATTTTTATGTTTAACATTCTTTTTTTTTTTTTATAGATACAAGTATTTTAGTAAATGCTCTGTTTATAATAAACAGTATTAAATAAAATTTACCGACCTGAATGTCCGAGAAATTTTCATAAAAATAGTTAAATGTTCTATTTTAATACAGGTATTTCTCACCTGTGGAATTCTCTTTCAGTTTCATGCTTCCTTGCCACCTACACTATACAAAAATTTAAATGCATTGTCAATTGCTGTCATCTGTCTTCCTGAATCCTATTCTTTCTCTTTAACTCCCAGTAACCCTTGTGTTTTCATAGAAAATTTCTCGAACATTCAGGCCGGTAAATGTTATTTAATACTGTTTATTATAAACAGAGCATTTACTAAAATACTTGTATCTATAAAAAAAAAAAAGAATGTTAAACATAAAAAAATGTCTTTAAATAATCTAATATATACCAAAATATTATAGTTATAATAATAAGTAACTTTCCTCTTCTGGAAATCATGATTAACTTTGAAATCCTTAAATTCCCAAGTAGGACATTTTATTTCTGCCATCAAATGAGCTAAGAAAAAAAAAAAAAAAAAAAAGGCATGAATGCATTGAAAAATTACTGAGGATGACATAAGATCTCTGCATTAAGCAAGTATGAGTTATCTCCTCTTTCCTATCTCAATTGTCCCTCAGGTCAAATTCTTCCTCAAAACCGTCATCTCTACAACATGGATGACAATGACAACAAGAAAAACATGTTTTCTCTATAAATAATTAATCCAAAATGACACTAGGATTAAATTTTTCTTCAATTGTGGCAATTAATTTGACAGAGTTATCAGAAAATAAATGTAGTTTTTCTTTCCATTTTTTTTTTTTCAAACGTTTAATGATAACAATTGCTCTTAACCATAAGAGAGAAGAGAGATAATGTAAGGTTTCTAATTCTCACTGAATTAAGTAAAGATGAAACTTTAAACAGATATTAGTTCTGTTTGGTGTGTCAGAAACTGACCTATATGATTGTTCTATCAAGGTGCTGACAGACTATCATCTCTGAAATATCAATCACCATATACTGAAAACTTCTAAATTTCAAATGTTTAGTCAGAATTTTTTTTTTTTTTTAAATCAAGAACACCTGAGCCTGAGCTTTGATTATTGATTAATTTTTTTTTTTTTTACAAGTTATTTAAAGCCAGAAACTGACCTATATCCTTTTAAAATTATAATGATTTACTGATATAAATCCTACTAA